ATGTCACAAAGGTTACCGCTGTTGTCAGTTCTCTACATGTCACAAAGGTTAACTCTGTTGTCAGTTCTCTACATGTCACAAAGGTTAACTCTGTTGTCAGTTCTCTACATGTCACAAAGGTTAACTCTGTTGTCAGTTCTCTACATGTCACAAAGGTTACCGCTGTTGTCAGTTCTCTTCATGTCACAAAGGTTAACTCTGTTGTCAGTTCTCTACATGTCACAAAGGTTAACTCTGTTGTCAGTTCTCTACATGTCACAAATGTTAACTCTGTTGTCAGTTCTCTACATGTCACAAAGGTTAACTCTGTTGTCAGTTCTCTACATGTCACAAAGGTTAACTCTGTTGTCAGTTCTCTACATGTCACAAAGGTTACCGCTGTTGTCAGTTCTCTACATGTCACAAAGGTTACCGCTGTTGTCAGTTCTCTACATGTCACAAAAGTTAACTCTGTTGTCAGTTCTCTACATGTCACAAAGGTTAACCCTGTTGTCAGTTCTCTACATGTCACAAAGGTTACCGCTGTTGTCAGTTCTCTACATGTCACAAAGGTTACCGCTGTTGTCAGTTCTCTACATGTCTCAAAGGTTAACTCTGTTGTCAGTTCTCTACATGTCACAAAGGTTAACTCTGTTGTCAGTTCTCTACATGTCACAAAGGTTAACTCTGTTGTCAGTTCTCTACATGTCACAAAGATTAACTCTGTTGTCAGTTCTCTACATGTCACAAAGGTTAACTCTGTTGTCATTTCTCTACATGTCACAAAAGTTAACTCTGTTGTCAGTTCTCTTTCTTGTCACAAAGGTTAGCTCTGTTGTCAGTTTTTTACATGTCACACAGGTAGCTCCAGCTCAATACAAGCACTTGGAGGCCTTTGAGTAGGAGGTCCTAAAAGCAGTTATGATTTTTAAAATAATTCACAAATTTTGGATTAGAAGGAAATTTACAATTGTAAATTACAACCTAGAATAAACAAATATGCGAACTGAAACCCAAGAGTGTACTCTAATGACTCTTATTGCAACAAAACAAATTCAAAACTGAACACATTTGGGGAAAGACAACCATTTCACAGATTTGGTATCCAGTCTTAAAATGAAGTATTTGGCATAGAAAATGGACAGTTATCGTTAGAAATTAAAAGAAAACTCAAACAATGGAATTTTACATTTTATTTTTTTAACATTGAATATACAAGTAATTCAAATTTTAAAAAATCAAGAATTAAATAGAAATATTAATTAAGTAGACAAATACTAGTAACTGGAAGTTTCAAGCTCATATTTCATTTTTTTTAAAAAACCATTCTATTAAAAGAAATGTTGCAGTAAATTGATACACGAGTTTACAAAAAATGGAAAAACTGAAACTGACATTGTCATCACACAACATAATAGTTTTTCTTCTAGTGATTAGTTAAGTAATATAATGTTATGCAAAAAGTGACTGGTATTTCTAACAATTACTACTGTATTGTTATGCACTCTAGTACAACCCAACTAATAATGATAATAACAATGAACAAGCTACTATTTGCAGACGATCAGTACCTGTTCTATAATGAGGACAGTAGACTGCGAGAAAATTTTGCGTTAGAAACAAATTTTTTTTCTAAATTAGAAAGCTGCCATTACATGAAAGGTGAACTGTGGATGTAACGCGTGGCTGGCCAACACTTCAGGGCAGAGAATGGCTGTTGGGGCATTTATCGTTAGAGGCTCCTTGTGTAAAGATGACCAGATTGTGTTTTTTATCAAGGAAAGGAGCGAATGCTGGAATGGGCCGGTGGGTGGTGTGTTGAAGGTATACATTTGTTGCCTGTGTAATCCTATGTGAGACAAGTGTGGCGAATCATTTTGGGGTAGCTATACTCACAACTGTCTGCGGTTGGTTGAGTTGTTCGTGTGGCCAGGAAGCAAACCAGATAGTTGTTAGGTTACCTCTAGCAGAATTAACGTGAACTGTGGCAGATGGACTGGACAGCTTAGAGACTGGTAAATTAATAGATAGCAATTTATCAAGTTCCGTGCAATCTGTGATGTATCCTTGAAGACTTTGTGTGAAGGCCTGCCTGGTCTCGTATTCAGGCGAGAAACTTACAATTGAAATGTATAATAATATCACAAATTTGTAAAAGTTAATAATTTATGTATAGTACTCTTAAAACTTATAATCTCTTAAACGTAAAACAATAATCAGTAATAATTTGTGCAATATTATATAAGTAATAATAGTGGACAAAAATAAATATCCAGTATGTGAACAGACACAACCCCTGTATAACCTAGTTATAAACCAGAAGGGTTGAACACGACACATGTGAAAGAATGACTACCACTACTTATTGAATGCACTCAACAGAGATATCACTTGAACTATGAAAACAACCACTATTAGTTTACGGTAACAATTGTTTCGAACAGACAAATTTGCTTCAGAACTCTCTTTAACTGGAGGATTTAAAGGGAACTCCTGGATCCACTTGGGGATCTGCTCTGACCACAGCTGTGCTCTGTCGCTGACAAAATGTTGCTTGACTGTCAAGTTGAGCCCAAACTCCAGGTACTGCTGCTGTTTCTGGTCAAACCCAGGCCAGCCTGAGGGCAGCTCAGAGGTCAGGGATTTGGCTGGGTTCCTGAAATATGCACACACACAAAAAAAGGTTAAGTTTAGACAACCTCTCGCTGGATGCACATGTTGTTTGGATTGTGTTTTAGAGCTGGAATGTATAAGTTTCAGTTCTCTCAACTGTTTTGATATTTGCTTCGCTATTGATTTATCTTTCCTAGATCTGTCAGTATTAATCAGTTCTTGTTACCTAAAAATTCATTACACAGTGCAACATTTTCCACTGGACTGCTGTGGAAAAAAAGGTCCACCACGTAAAGGTGGGTCAGAGAGGCTAAAAGACAATATAAGTCTTGTATTGCGCACCACTGCTCCATTAGGACCCTGGTGTTATCCTAATAGGACCCTGTTGGGTAAATGAGAACATCGTCCGTCTCATAGACATTTAGTCAAGCACAGAGTTTGCAGAGTTTAGGCATTCAACATTACATCCAGTTCATATTTCTACACCAAGTCCAAGCTTCGGCTATCTTCTGATTAACGGTCCCAAATTATTGAGGACAAAAATATACCCTAACAGGGTCTCAGTCACATGTAAATTGCGGACTTCCGCCACCAATGAGAGTATCTCCCATGCTGCTACGCGCTGCATGGATTGGGGCTAAACTAGATGGCTGAGACTCACGAGTAAATAAAATGAAGAAAGCTGCAGGAGATGCGGTAGCTGCTGCTCGTGAGTCCCAGCCATCTAATTTAGTCCCTATCCACGCCGCTCGTAGCGGCGGTGGCCGCCGGAAGTGCGCAATTTAAGTCGCCGGAAGTTTGAAATTTTCATGTTACTGAGGCCCTGTTAGGGTTTATTTCTTGACCTCGATAATTTGGGACCGTTATTCGGAAGATAGCCAAAGCTTCTACACAAGTCGTGGTTGTTCGTCCACTTTTAGACTGCTCTTGTTCTATAACCAGAGTTTTGCGTGCACATCCACGCTGGTCATCTGCTTTATTGAACTGTTCCTTGCCTCCCGAGTTGAGTTGAGTCAAGAATTGACATCACAGCACTCGGGGCATTTCCATGCGTGCTCCGTCCTCATTTTCAGCAGCCAGCGCAGAGTTCTAGTACTGATGGTACCGGTCACAATCGGGTTATGTGTCCGTCTTGCCTTTCCTCTGAGTGTAGTGAGCCGGCCAGACCCTCTGATTACACCCAGGTGCCTCATTCTCTCCAGGCCATAATAATCTTGTTTCTCTACTGATTCCGTTGCTTGTTTCAAAAGGGCCTTGACCACATCTGCCTTGTCATGTATTTATTCACCACCCAGTGATGTAGATCCAGCCAATCTATCTGTCTGTTCATTATCCACCACGCCGGCATTGCCTGGAGAAAAGATCCAAAATATGTTCCCTATCCGAGACCTTCACAGTGGTGACCTACCTTGCCTTTCAAGCAGATGTACGCCTTTGACTGAAACATCCCTTACTAGTCGTCGTTTAGGACATGCTTGTAAGAAGAACAGTGGGTCTACCCTCCTCCCCCCCCCCTCCCCCGGGACCTTCTCCCAAATGAGGCTGTGGAAACCACACGGGGATGGAACCAGTTTACGTAGTCTGACATCTCTTGTTAAACTGGGCCGTGAAATCTGGAACACACACATATCACTTACACACACACACCACTTACACACAGGCCCACAAACTTCACGCATCTACACTTTCCCACATAATCTCAGGTTGAATAATAAACTTTTTGCAAAGTTACATGTAGTAGTAATATTTAGAATTTGAAAAAAAAAATATTCAGTATTCTGGGTTATAAGGAGAATATAAAGTGTTGATAAGTACTTTCAAAACTCAATCAACGCATCTGCTGCTTCAGCTACTACCATCACCACCACAACCACTACTACTGCTGCTTCAGCTACTACCATCACCACCACAACCACTACTACTGCTGCTTCAGCTACTACCATCACCACCACAACCACTACTACTGCTGCTTCAGCTACTACCATCACCACCACAACCACTACTACTACCATCACCACCACAACCACTACTACTACCATCACCACCACAACCACTACTACTGCTGCTGCTGTTACTACTACAACTACTGCTTGCCGTCGGGAAGTTCTTGGGTTCCTATCCGAATCAGATGAATTTAGAAAACAAAATGGTCGACCCACGCTAATATGTAATAGAAAATATCAGGGAAATAAATGCGGTCAGTTTGTTATGACCACTAAACCAGATTATTGCCGATTCATCTATAAAAATTGGAAGCAAGCAAATTTGTCTAGTTCGCGATTGGCTTGAAAGGGGCCGTTAATCTCCCCCCCCCCCCCCTTTTTCCCCTTTTCCTTCCCTTTGAATGTCATATTCTTCTGTGCTCTTACTTAGAAAAGGAATTACTATAACTAGGGAAAAATACAAACCCTGTTTTGATAAAATCAGCAACTAGTTTTATGAACTTCTGCCTGAGCAAGTCATCATTCTTGTTCCATTTGCTGCCGTCCACCTGTGAATATAGAATTTTGTGTACAAGAAAATGTATGAATGGAGTACTGGCACATTTTCTTTACCAAATATACTGATTATACATTACATTGCACCCCCCCCCCCCCACCCCATACCCCCAATATGGGACGCATTATTTTTGTTTTAACTGTAAAGCCCATGCCCCCTGTTGGCAGGGGCCCAAATATAACTTAACAGTTGAACGAGGTTCCTGGGACTTGTACCCAGCTGATTTGTATACGAATGGTTTCACTTTGTGTCACCAGATGTTTATCGTTCTGTGTGTGGTCCTGGCGGTTTGAACTTCTCTTAGTCACCAAGTATATTAAACAAGCCTTTCATGTCTCATCATCTGTAGGTTACAGCTACAACTAGTTAAACGTTTCTTCTTTCACTACAACAAACACAACCAAAACAGTTAAACGTTTCTTCTTCCACTACAACACACACAATCACAACAGTTAAACGTTTCTTCTTCCACTACAACAAACACAATCACAACAGTTAAACGTTTCTTCTTCCACTACAACAAACACAATCACAACAGTTAAACGTTTCTTCTTCCACTACAACAAACACAATCACAACAGTTAAACGTTTCTTCTTCCACTACAACAAACACAATCACATCAGTTAAACGTTTGTTCTTCCACTAAAACAAACACAATCACAACAGTTAAACGTTTCTTCTTCCACTACAACAGACACAATCACAACAGTTAAGCGTGTCTTCTTCCACGACAACAAACACAATCACAACCACTTTTGTAACTAAATCTACATCGGTTACTCCTAAAAACACGTTTACATATATAAGGACAGCTGCTGCTGTTGCTGTTACTCCTATAGTCATTATTACTAGTACTGCGGTTGTTCCTATTGCTGCTACCACTGTGGACTTTACACACTAGTCGCTACTACAGCTATGACAGCGACGAAGACAGCCACTACCATCACCACCGCCGACGTCATCACTACCACAACCACCATAACTACTCACTGAGCGAAGTCTGATCCTACTAACTGAGGGCACGAGGCACATGTATAAAATATAGTCTCTTGCTGAATGACCTGCATCTTTTCTCAGATGCCGAACATGTGATAGAACTTGTCACGCTTATTTCCCCCAGTAGGTGTGGGATGGTAGTCCCCAAGGTGTCTGACTCCCCCCAGTAGGTGTGGGATGGTAGTCCCCAAGGTGTCTGACTCCCCCCAGTAGGTGTGGGATGGTAGTCCCCAAGGTGTCTGACTCCCCCCCCCCCCCAGTAGGTGTGGGATGGTAGACCCCAAGGTGTCTGACTCCCCCCAGTAGGTGTGGGATGGTAGTCCCCAAGGTGTCTGACTCCCCCCAGTAGGTGTGGGATGGTAGTCCCCAAGGTGTCTGACTCCCCCCAGTAGGTGTGGGATGGTAGTCCCCAAGGTGTCTGACTCCCCCCAGTAGGTGTGGGATGGTAGACCCCAAGGTGTCTGACTCCCCCCAGTAGGTGTGGGATGGTAGTCCCTAAGGTGTCTGACTCCCCCCAGTAGGTGTGGGATGGTAGTCCCCAAGGTGTCTGACTCCCCCCAGTAGGTGTGGGATGGTACTCCCCAAGGTGTCTGACTCCCCCCCCCCCCCCCCAGTAGGTGTGGGATGGTAGACCCCAAGGTGTCTGACTCCCCCCAGTAGGTGTGGGATGGTAGTCCCCAAGGTGTCTGACTCCCCCCAGTAGGTGTGGGATGGTAGTCCCCAAGGTGTCTGACTCCCCCCAGTAGGTGTGGGATGGTAGTCCCTAAGGTGTCTGACTCCCCAGGTCTCGGTGTTGCAGTTTGATGTCCACAAGAAAATGTGTTACTAATTCGGGTGATGATAACTGCAAGCATGATCCAAGAACGCCAGCTCTGGTTTCTGTCAAAGTCTGTAGAGTTCTCGTTATTCTGTTTGAAACCACATCTAACAAAGTATAATAATGTTTATAAAACAAAACGTTTCTGAAGTAAAAAAAATAACGAATGCTGACCTTCGCCGGTACTAACTTAATCACAAACTCCATGTCGAGGTCAAATAAGTAGACGAGGTCAAAGGCATGTGGAAACCCGTTAGAAGGGTCAAGGACATATTCTGGTGAATAGGCGAATTGAAAGAAATGTACCTGTCAACAGAGAGGACATGGCTCAATATATAAACCTGTAGTAAACAGAGAGGACATGGCTTCATATATAAACCTGTAGTAAACAGAGAGGAAATGGCTCAATACATAAACCTGTAGTAAACAGAGAGGACATGGCTCAATATGTAAACCTGTAGTAAACAGAGAGGAAATGGCTTCATATATAAACCTGTAGTAAACAGAGAGGAAATGGCTCAATACATAAACCTGTAGTAAACAGAGAGGAAATGGCTCAATACATAAACCTGTAGTAAACAGAGAGGAAATGGCTCAATACATAAACCTGTAGTAAACAGAGAGGAAATGGCTCAATACATAAACCTGTAGTAAACAGAGACGAAATAACATGATACATAAACCTGTAGTAGACAGAGATGAAAAGACACGATACATAAACATGTAGTAAACAGAGATGAAAAGACACGATACATAAACATGTAGTAAACAGAGATGAAATGGCACAATACATAAACATGTAGTAAACAGAGAGGACATGGCTCAATATATAAACCTGTAGTAAACAGAGAGGACATGGCTTCATATATAAACCTGTAGTGAACAGAGAGGAAACGGCTCAATACATAAACATGTAGTAAACAGAGAGGAAATGGCTCAATATATAAACCTGTAGTAAACAGAGATGAAATGACATGATACATAAACATGTAGTAAACAGAGATGAAATGGCACGATACATAAACCTGTAGTAAACAGAGATGAAAAGACACGATACATAAACATGTAGTAAACAGAGATGAAAAGACACGATACATAAACATGTAGTAAACAGAGATGAAATGGCACGATACATAAACATGTAGTAAACAGAGATGAAATGGCACGATACATAAACATGTAGTAAACAGAGAGGGAATGGCTCAATACATAAACCTGTAGTAAACAGAGATGAAATGGCATGATACATAAACATGTAGTGAACAGAGAGGAAATGGCTCAATACATAAACATGTAGTAAACAGAGAGGAAATGGCTCAATATATAAACCTGTAGTAAACAGAGATGAAATGACACAATACCTAAACATGTAATAAATGACACAATACCTAAACATGTAATAAACAGAGATGAAATAACACGATACATAAACATGTAGTAAACAGAGATGAAATAACACGATACATAAACATGTAGTAAACAGAGATGAAATGACACAATACATAAACATGTAGTAAACAGGGATGAAATGGCACGATACATAAACTTGTTGTAAACAGAGATGACATGACACAATACATAAACATGTAGTAAACAGAGATGAAATGGCACGATACATAAACTTGTAGTAAACAGAGATGAAATGGCACGATACATAAACTTGTAGTAAACAGAGATGAAATGGCTCAAATTATAAACCTGTAGTAAACAGAGACGAAAGGACACGATAAGTAAACAGAGACGAAAGGACACGATACATAAACATGTAGTAAACAGAGACGAAATGACACAATACATAAAGCTGTAGTAAACAGAGATGAAATTACACGATACATAAAGCTGTAGTAAACAGAGATGAAATGACACGATACATAAAGCTGTAGTAAACAGAGATGAAATGACACGATACATAAAGCTGTAGTAAACAGAGATGAAATGACACGATACATAAACATGTAGTAAACAGAGATGAAATGACACGATACATAAAGCTGTAGTAAACAAAGATGAAATGACACGATACACAAAGCTTTAGTAAACAGAGATGAAATGACATGATACATAAAGCTGTAGTAAACAGAGATGAAATGACACGATACATAAACATGTAGTAAACAGAGATGAAATGGCACCATACATAAACATGTAGTAAACAGAGATGAATGACACGATACATAAACATGTAGTAAACAGAGATGAAATGGCTCAATACATAAACCTGTAGTAAACACAGATGACATGACACAATACATAAACATGTAGTAAACAGAGATGAAATGGCACGATACATAAACATGTAGTAAACAGAGATGAATGACACGATACATAAACATGTAGTAAACAGAGATGAAATGGCTCAATACATAAACCTGTAGTAAACACAGATGACATGACACAATACATAAACATGTAGTAAACAGAGATTAAATGACACAATACATACACCTGTAGTAATCAGAGATGAAATGACACAATACATACACCTGTAGTAATCAGAGATGAAATGACACAATACATACACCTGTAGTAATCAGAGATGAAATGACACAATACATACACCTGTAGTAATCAGAGATGAAATGACACGAGTGTGTGTGTGTGTGTATGTGTGCGTTTGTGTGCGTGCGTGAGTGGGTGTGTTAGTGTGTGTGTGCGTGTCGAACTCTAGGTATTCAATAAAAAACTAATTGAAAGTTTAGAGAAAAAAAAAACTTACTCGACTGTCTTGTGAAGAACGGCCACCAGCAACAGCAGTCACGAATTGTAAGGACTGGATGTTGAACATGGCATCACTAACAAAATCTGCAAGCGGATCCATGTGAAAGTTGTTCCCGTAGTACTCAGCCACCTTCTGTATCACTTGCTGACTGACTGGTCCAAACGCTGGTACTATAAACGATTGAATTGTTTGAAATAAAATAACTTGAGGTGTTAAAAGCCTGGCCATTTCTGCTGGCAACACAGATAGAATGTAATTATAGAGAAGGTTATAAACGTAGCCTTCATTGTCAGTGACACTGACAAGATAATCCCTGTCAAAGAAGTTGACAGATTTCAGGTAGTTCTCATCAGAGAGCAGTTCTTCCATTTTTTTAGGGAACAGATCGTTAGATAAAGTTGACTGCAGAGTAGGAATATCAGTTGTTTCATTGATGGCGAAATTTTCAGCGGGCACTTTTTTCAGACAGTCCACTAATTTCTCGAATTCGGAATCTGCAACAGGGTCTGGCTGTTCAACTCTGAGACAACCCAATTTCCGGCTGATTTTGATTGCATCAGGTCTCGGGTTTGTGATCAAGAGTGTGTTTTTAGATCCTGTAGCTCCACTCGCGCAATAAACTCTGGTAAATAAATCTCGAGATTGGGGTAGCAGGGCCAAGAAAGAGGAATCGAATCCGCCCGCGGACTGGCCTCCAATCTGAAAAATCACAAGGAAGCAAAAAGTTTACAGATGTGAAATATGCCTCTGCTGGATAAAATCACACAAATGTACTTTAACTCTTTCAGTTTCAGGCGTGCAATTCTCCAACTTCCCCATTTGTAAGCAGTTATTGTTTAAACTAAAAACTCTCAAGGTTTGAAAGGGTTCAAACGATAGCACTAAAGGAGAAAATTGCTTGAAGTAACAGATGAGAGAGGATGGATTTGTGTTACAGCTGGATCAGCAACATGAAAATTATAAGCTTTTGATATGTGAAAATGGAGACCTTATTGTGGAAGAGAGGTAGTACTCTTACCTCCTATGATGAAGTGCTCAAGTTCAATGTACCATGACGTATCCTCGTTGCCATGAAGAAATGTATGTGAGCACTGATGGAAACTATCTCTTCTTCTTGGCGTTCGGCGGCTATAAACTCCAGCTTGAAAATACTTTTCGTTCATCCACTTTTAGTCTTTGGTCTTTTTTCTTATACTTAAGTTTTGAGTGCACATCAGTTTTACAGATAAAGTGTATCTGTATGCAGACTGCGGACTCCTCGCCTTTCACGCACATGCACCCCGACTTCAAAGGAAACGCTCTTAAATAGTCTACCTTTACGACATGCGTGTTGGGGGCAGAGGGTCAGCCATCCCACCCCACCCCACCCCAACCCATCCACCCCTTTCCCTCCCAATAAGGTCACGGTGTCCACACGAAGAAATTTGATGCAAATAAAACAACAATGATACTGCACAAACCATGGTGCCACATATAGATTACATTAGAAAACAAAAGCATATATGAATTTACAATGTGAAGCTATTCTTTAAAATGTTCCTTACAGTGACTGCAGCTGGGTCTCCTCCGAAGTCTTGGATGTGCTTTTTAACCCAAGCCAAAGACATCAACTGATCTTTGAGGTTCAGATTGCCTTGACAGCTTGGGGTCATGGTACTCAAGACCCCAAGGTAGCCCAGACGGTAGGCGACAGTGACAACGATGATATCCTGTTCTGTCACCAGTGTCCCTGGCAGATAACCACTAGGGAATCCCTGTATGTTTGCACCTCCATGGAAAAATACAAAAACCTGCCGAGAACAGTATAAATGGAATTTGCATTAATAAATTACTACACAAAACTGGTCATTGTCAGCACAGAAGTCTGCTGGGATCAGATCAAAAGAATCTGAAATGAATCTTGTGTAGAAGTTCTTGGCAAGAAAGAACGGAAACATAAAGCGTATATAACACCAGAAACCATTCAATTAATTGAAGATAGGAAAAGTAAGAAGGCAGACTTAAACAATAGCAAAATTAGAGCTGCTAAAGCTAAAGCTGAGGATAAATACACAGAAGCCAATAAGGAAGTTAGGAGGCGTATAAGCGCAGATAAAGTGAAATATCTAAATGATCTAGCACAAGAAGCGGATACAGCAGCCGCAAAATAAAACCTCAGAGAACTTTACAGAAGTAACACAAGAAAATTAGTAGGTAAATATAGTCAGCCAACTGGATCAATCAAAAATAGTCAAGGAAAGGTACTTACTAACACTAAAGATCAAATCGACAGATGGGCTGAATATTTTGAAATGCTTCTAAATAAACCAGGCCCAGAGGTTCCGCCAGATATCCAGCCTTTAGAAATGGAACTGGATATCAACTGTGAGATACCATCCAAAGAGGAAATTAGAAAAGCTATAAATCTTCTTAAGGAAGGAAAGGCGTCAGGCCCAGATGGTATCCCAGCTGAAGCCATCAGGACCAACATAAACACATCAACAGAATTACTACATAGATTATTTAGTAAAGTCTGGGAGACCGAAGAAATACCAGCAGACTGGAGAAGGATATCTTGTGAAACTGCCCAAAAAAGGTGACTTAACAGGAGTGTGAAAACTATAGAGGAATTATGTTGCTATCAGTTCATGGAAAAATATTAAGTAGAAATATTTTGGAAAGATAAAACGATGCTATTGATAAAAAGCTAAGAGATGAAAAGGCAGGTTTTCGGTCAAACAGATCCTGTACTGACCAGAGAGCCACATTACGTATTATAATAGAGCAAAGCATTGAACTGAACTTACCACTTTAAATTGGATTTATAGACTATGAAAAAGCGTTTGACAGCATTGATAGGGAATCTCTCTGGAAATTGATGGGGCACTATGGAATCCCACAGAAAATTATTAACTCAGTAAAAGCAACATATAAAGACATGAAATGTCGAGTTCTTCATGAGGGAAAGCTAACAGATACATTTGAAATAAAAACAGGTGTGCGACAGGGATGTCTTTTGTCGCCTCTCTTATTTTTAATGGCTATAGACTGGATTATGAAAACAGTAACTGCTAACACCAAGAATGGAATTCAGTGGACACCTACAAAACAGCTTGATGATCTGGACTTCGCTGATGAAATTTTTTCTCTTCTGTCTCATTCACGGAATCAGATTCAAGATAAATTAAATATACATGATGCGAGATCACAGCATCCATAAAAGAAAAACAAAGATAATGAGAATAAATCAGGCAAATAGTAATGTGGTTTCTCTTAATGGCACCCCACTCCAAGACGTGGAGTCGTACACCTATTTGGGCAGTAATGTAGATAAAGTTGGAGGAACTGATAGAGATATTAAAATAGGAATACACAAGACAAGAGGATCTTTCATAGCACTGTGGAATTTGTGTAGGTGAAAAGAAATTAAAAGAAATACTAAACTAAATTTTTTAAGTTCTAATGTCAAATCAGTGCTTTTGTACGGGGCAGAAACATGGAGAACAACTAAGGCAATTACCAATAAATTACAGACACTCATTTACTGGTGCCTGCGCAGAATAGAGGGAATAAAATGGTATGATAGAATAACTAATGTAGAGCTTTGTGAGAGAACTAAACAGGCTCCGGTGGACCAAGAGGTGAGGAAAAGACGCTGGCGTTGGATAGGACACACTTGGAAAACAGGAGAACAGCATAACTAGAATGTCTTTGCATTGGAACCCACAGGGGCATAGGAATAAAGGAAGGCGAAAAAACACATGGAGAAGAGAGCTGGAGAATAAAGTTAGAAAGATGGGGAGGACATGGGGAGAACTCCATGCAATGGGAAAGAACGACTTGGGGTGAGTTGGTTGAGGGCCTATGCTCCATGGGGGGGGGGGGGATAGAAAGGCAGAAGAAGAAGACACAAAACTGAATACATTTGACAGTACATAGTTATGTTACGCGCACACAGTCAAAATGGAGACACTGTAGGAACAATCCTTATAGTCGGTGAGATAATCGAGTGCTGTATCTTATATATACAGAATAGAATTGATCCTTATAGTTGGTGAGACAATAGAATGCCCATTTTTTACAATGTATCTTACGTTGGCTTCGACAGAGGTACCGAGAGCTGACCGTTCAGTAGCATTGGCAAACTACTGAACGTAAAATTTGCCTAGATAAACCACAACAGCTAAAAAGAAGAAAAAAAAAAAACCGCTGGGGTTTGTTATGCAACGTCTGGTAAAGGATACGCAACTAAGTTTATCTTATAGATACGAAATAGACGTGATATTTTCTGTCAGTGTGATACAGAAAAAAAAAATTAACTTGCCTTCCATGTTTGCTCACATTAAATTTGGTTCCAGGTAATGTTCCGGGAAGTAAAGTCGACCGGCCTGGTGCTGACCACATCACCCATCGGGGTCCACAAAAATATAATTCTAGCTTCATGTGCCCGATGCCCCATTGTCATAGCTTTCAACTACGTTAGTTCCTTGACATGAAGAAAGTACCTTGCTTGCATAACTTTAAACTACATTAGTTCCTTGATATGAAAAAGTACCTTACTTGCACAACTTTAAATTACATTAGTTCCTTGATATGACGAAAGTACCTTACTTGCATAGCTTTAAACTACATTAGTTCCTTAATATGATGAAAGTACCTTACTTGCAAAGCTTTACATTAGTTCCTTGATATGACGAAAGTACCTTTCCTGCATAGCTTTACATTAATTCCTTGATATGAAGAAAGTACCTTACCTGCATAGCTTTACTTTACATTAGTTCCTTGATATGAAGAAAGTACCTTACTTGCATAGTTTCACATTTATTCCTTGATATGAAGAAAGTACCTTACCTGCATAGCTTTACTTTACATTAGTTCCTTGATATGAAGAAAGTACCTTACCTGCATAGCTTTACTTTACATTAGTTCCTTGATATGAAGAAAGTACTTTACCTGCATAGCTTTACTTTACATTAGTTCCTTGATATGAAGAAAGTACTTTACCTGCATAGCTTTACTTTACATTAGTTCCTTGATATGACGAAAGTACCTTATCTGTACAGCTTTGATCTCATTCAGTCTTCTCCAGTCACAGTTTTCTATGTGAACTATCCTAGGCAGAAACACTGTTACTGTTTTAAACATTACAAGACGGACACATGATTTTCACAAACTCTGCACTTTGCAGATCACCAACAAACATAACAGATGTATGACCTTCTTTAAATCTGCGAGAGTTGTGTCGGAACCAATCGGTGTGAACACGTTCAAGTACAGACAGTCCTCCTGTCCAAGATCAAATGGCGTGGGCAGGACATATATCTGAATACAGGCAGGCTTGAAGTCTGTAGCATTGTACAAACCATCTGGGGATAACAAGGCAACAGAAGGTCGTGCACAAATGATCAACGCAATTACAAATTATTTCAAAGATGAATATGCCAGGATAAAAAAGTGACAAACATTTCTATTTGCTTCAGGCAATTTGTGTTTCGAAATAATGATACTCTGTAGTAGGAGAAGATAAAACTATAATTGTAAAAATAAAAGTGGAGCTAACAATTTTAGTTACCTCCCTTTTCATTCTATTTCCTTCTTCGCTTGTGCCACTACTCGTTGAGTTGAACAAAGGATATGTAGCCGAGCTAGGGCTCGTTCGGTTGCTTAGTATTCTGTGATATTATGAAGTCTTACGATGTCAGCGACTCCTTCAATTCATTTCTTTTAGGTATCCCTCTGCATTTTTTTATGTTTACATTTTCATGTTCTACATCCTCGACGCTGACATTAGTAGATTCATTCTCGTGGCCGAACCATTTCGCTCTTAGTTTTTCCAATGAATTTAATTATATGTATTTTTTTTACAAGTTCTTCTAAGCTTTTCATTTCTGGCACGATCTATTCTGGTTTTGTTCTCAGTCTTTCTCAAACATCTCAGTTGAATGGGTGAAATGTTCTCCAAGACCGATATTGATAAATGAAAATGTGAGTAAAGATTGCATAAATAATGCTTCGTAATTCCAAGGTATTTGTTTCGATTCAGCTGCTGTCAATTTCGACAGGAATATATAGCTGACTGTTTAGTAAGCAATGGCAAACTACTGAGCGTAGAACTGCTAAGTAAATCTAAACAGCTAACAGATGCTGGCGTTGATTCTGCAAATTCTGTAAGGGATACAATGATGATTGGCACCTTTCCATCTTTCCAGATTGTTATATTGTGCTATGAGGAGTGTTATGGGACTCATAGCCCATGGCGATGGCGAGTGTGACTATCAAGACCTGCCCTCGTTAAAAAAAAGTCTTCCACAATTATAATAGCATAGGATTTCAGGACCTGTTTTGTGAACCTTTGTATTTAGTCTGGTTCTTCTCAGACGCCCATCTCTCACCCTTTCTGCAATCATTTCTTCCTTCATTCTCATTCGCTTCCTAATGAGCTTCCTCCATTTTGTTCACACGAGTCCACCTCAGTACCTGTATAATTCATGTCCCGCTTGCACATGTCTTTATATCGTAGTAGAGGTCAGCTTCAACATCTTCTACCCGTCTTTAGCTGACCATAAAGGATTACCTTAGGGATTCTGTCATCCTCCATTCTCCAGGTGTGATCCAGCCACCTGAGAATTCGTAGACTTGGCATTGAGAAGACTGTTTTAATACCTGCTCTTTTCAATACCTCAGTGTTTGTGATTGTATCCTGCCACTTATTGCTAAATATTCTTCTCAGTCATCGCATGTGAAAGCTTTTTAGCCGTCTCTCCTAGTACAAATAAGTTGACCACGTTTCACTGCCATAAATCAGAGGGCTGAGAACACAAGCCTGATAGAGATGTCTTTTGTTTTAATCGTGAGCTTTCTGTTCTCCCAAACTCGTGTTAATCTACTCATTGTTGTTGCTTCCTTACCTATCCTGATATCGATTTCTTGATCCAGCTATAGTTTGTTATTTAGTGTGGAACCCAGATAGGTAAAATGATCAACTGTCTCATAGCAGACGTACGAACATAATCTGTAGCAGACTTACCAATGGGATCTATGGCAACTGGAGGTTGAAATCTCAGATCATTGATCGGCGGTTTGGCGAAAGGGATGCCTCGAAATGCATTGTAGACCTGGCCATTCATGGCAGTTAGTGTGGAGCCGAGGAAGGTTCCAGCGGGAGATTTGATAACTGGATCTGAGGCCCACACACAAGCCACGACCAGCAGCAGCAGATGGCGGGAAAACATCTTCATGGCAGCTACTGTTGACACTTTCTCTCCTATAATGTAGGCGGAAGATGTATTTAAAGTAAATGTGGACAGAAACTATCATCATTCAGAGACTGACTGAGTGACTCACTTTAATTATCAGCTGATTCTTGTGCTGATCGACTGAGATATGATTTTCAACTGAATTTTTTTCAGGGGTCCCTGAACATGTTTAAGGAGGCTCATATTCTTTGCGCATCATATTCTCTCAATCTATACAATATGTGTGTGTAAGTGTGTGTGTGTAAGCGCGTGTGTGTGAGTGTGTGTAAAATCCTGATGAGATGGTTGATTTTAAAATCGGTTGATTGCACTCAAAGACCACTATTACTCTACATTGTGTTGTATTATTCTGAGTCCAAAATAGACATACAGCACTCGTGATATTTTCATTTGTCCTCAGTCTCATCTTTAGTAGTCAGCGAAGAGAGTTCCAGTTTTGATGCTACCGGTTAGTTTGTTGCGTTTACTTAACATGACGTTGCAGAACCAACCTCAGCATTTATTGGCTGTTGCGGTTTTTATAGGCAAATTTTACGTTCAGTAGTTTGCCATTGCTTACTGAACGATCAGCTCTCGGTACCACTGTCGAAACCAGTGCAAGACAAATCATTCGCAGCTGGGATCGTACGCGGCACCGTGGCATTACACTTCGTGTTTGACAAAGGCTGCCCGGCCGAAACTTTACGTTATTTGTGTTATTTTTTGCACGTTTTTCTGCTTCCACATTTGGTTGAGCTTTTCAGTCAAATTTCCTTGAAAATTCTCGGCATTACGAAGAGCGTTCTCAACGCCTAAGCCACAGACACCTACAGTAGCGGTTTGACTGTTACATCCGTCTTGTCTGTCGACTGTGGGTAGAATGTCGGCTAGACCGCTTGGTCAATTCACTATGTACACAAGTCTATCCATACCGTAACGATCTACTGTGAAAATATTCCAGAGTCTTCTTCTGCCTTTTTATCCCCCAATGGAGCATAGGCCCTCAACCAACTCACGCCAAGTCGTTCTATCCTTCGCCATTACATGGAGCTCTCCCCATGTCTTCCCAATCTTTCTAACCTCATTCTCCAGTTCTCTTCTCCGTGTGTTTTTTGGCCTTCCTTTATTCCTATGCCCCTGTGGGTTCCAATGCAAAGACATTCTAGTTATGCTGTTCTCCTGTTTTCTCAGTGTGTGCCCTATCCAACGCCAGCGTCTTTTCCTCACCTCCTGATCCACTGGAGCCTGTTTAGCTCTCTCCCAAAGTTATACATTAGTTATTCTATCATAATATTTTATTCCCTCTATTCTGCGCAGGCACCAGTTAATGAATGTCTGTAATTTATTAGTAATTGCCTTCGTTGTTCTCCATGTTTCCGCCCCATACAATAGTACTGATTTGACATTAGAATTAAAAATTTTTAGTTTAGTATTTCTTTTAATTTCTTTTGACCTCCACAAATTCCCTAGTGCTATGAAAGCCCCTCTTGAATTTTGTATTCTTATTTTAATATCTCTATCAGTTCCTCCATCTTTATCTACATTACTGCCCAAATAGGTGTACGACTCCACGTCTTGGAGTGGGGTGCCATTAAGAGAAACCACATTACTATTTGCCTGATTTATTCTCATTATCTTTGTCTTTCCTTTATGGATTTTCAGACCAAGCTGCCTTGATCTCGCATTAAGTATATTTAATTTATCTTGTATCTGATTCCGTGAATGGGACAGAAGAGCAATATCATCAGCGAAGTCCAGATCATCAAGCTGTTTTGTAGGGGTCCACTGAATTCCATTCTTGGTGTTAGCAGTTACTGTTTTCATAGTCCAGTCTATAGCCAGTAAAAATAGGAGAGGCGACAAAAGACATCCCTGTCGCACACCTGTTTTTATTTCAAATGCATCTGTTAGCTTTCCCTCATGAAGAACTCGACATTTCATGTCTTTATATGTTGCCTTTACTAAGTTGATAATTTTCTGTGGGAATCCATAGTGCCCCATCAATTTCCAGAGAGATTCCCTATCAATGCTGTCAAATGCTTTTTCATAGTCTATAAATTCAATGTAAAGTGGTGAGTTCAGTTCAATGCTTTGCTCTATTATAATACGTAATGTGGCTATCTGATCAGTACAGGATCTGTTTGACCGAAAACCTGCCTGCTCATCTCTTAGCATTTTATCAATAGCATCTTTTAATCTTTCCAAAATAATTCTACTTAATATTTTTCCAGGAACTGATAGCAACATAATTCCTCTATAGTTTTCACACTCCTGTAGATCACCTTTTTTGGGCAGTTTCACAAGATATCCTTCTCTCCAGTCTGCTGGTATTTCTTCGGTCTCCCAGACTTTACTGAATAATCTATGTAGCAATTCTGTTGATGTGTTTATGTTGGTCCTGATGGCTTCAGCTGGGATACCATCTGGGCCTGACGCCATTCCTTCCTTAAGAAGATTTATAGCTTTTCTAATTTCCCCTTTGGATGGTATCTCACAGTTGATATCCAGTTCCATTTCTAAAGGCTGGATATCTGGGGGAACCTCTGGGCCTGGTCTATTTAGAAGCATTTCAAAATATTCAACCCATCTGTCCACTTGATCTTTAGTGTTAGTAAGTACCTTTCCTTGACTATTTTTGATTGATCCAGTTGGCTGACTATATTTACCTACTAATTTTCTTGTGTTACTGTAAAGTTCTCTGAGGTTTCCTTTTGCTGCTGCTGTCTCCGCTTCTTGTGCTAGATCATTTAGATATTTCACTTTATCTGCCCTTATATGCCTCCTAACTTCCTTGTTGGCTTCTGTGTAATTCTCCTGAGCTCTAGCTTTAGCAGCTCTAGTTTTGCTATTGTTTAATTCTGCCTTTTTACTTTTCCTATCTTCAATCAGTTTAATGGTTTCTGATGTTATCCATGCTTTATGTTTCCTTTCTTTCTTGCCAAGAACTTCTACGCAAGATTCATTCCAGATTCCTTTGATCTGATCCCAGCAGACTTCTGTGTTGACATCTTCAGCTAACTGCTGCAACACCTGGTACTTATTAGAGACCGTAACTGAGAACTGTTCCTTAATTTCTTTATCTCTAAGAAAGCCTACATTATATTGGTTTCTATGATTATAAGATGTTATAT